CTTTACCTTACTCTTCTGAAGGGACACAGTGGCTCAGTGGCTAAGACGGAAAGTTGATCGGAAAAGTCCGCAGTTTGGCAGTTTGAATCCCTAGCACCGCGTAACGAAGTGAGCTTGTCCCAGCTTCTGTCAACCTAGCAGTTCAAAAGCATGTAAAAATGCAAGTAGAAAAATAGGGACCACCTTTGTTGGGAAGGTAACAATGTTCCATGCGCCTTTGGTGTTTAGTCATGCCAGCCACATGACCACGGTGACAACTTTGGATAGCGCTAGCTCTTTGGCTTTGAAATGGAGATGAGCACCGCCCCCGCCCCCCAGAGTTGGGGTTGACTAGCACATATGTGCAAGGGGAACCTTTACCTTTACCTTACTCTTCTGAGGTGGCTCTAAGAACGCTAAACCACACATAAAAATAATTTCAGCAAGAAAAAAATCTTGGAGTTGACATTTTCCAGCCAAGTACAGCAGAGGGTTTTTTTTTCTAAACTCTGTTTGCAGAGTACTTTGGTTTGTTTTTTCAAGGAAGAAACCAGCAGCAATGGGCTTATATTTATCCCTTTGAAGAGGGAATTTGAAAAGGGACACTTTGCACTCAGGCCAAAAACAAATAGCCTTTTTAAGTATTCATGATACTGGACATATGTAATGTAATCTGAGGACCTATGTCTCATAAATCTTCAGGCTGCCATAGTTCATTCTTGTGAAATACTTTCACATTGCCAACAGCCAGCACAACACATCTTGCTTTCCCTAACATTATTTAAAACTCTAACCCTTTGAATGATTCTTTAAATCTACCATTTCTGGTAATCCCTGCCATAAAACCAACCAACAAAATAAATAAAGAGGTGAGGAATGTCAGCCAAATCAAAGCAATGCTTAGTAATTGTCACAAATTATTGTTATATCATTCATAATGATGGCATAATAGCATTTCGGATGTACTGGTGTGCTGGACATTGAATATACTGTATCTGTACAAAATTTGGATAATTAGGAACGCAGCTTTGGATATTGATAACAAGAGATAGACAAAAAGAGCCTCTTTTGCTATCTTTAAATTTTAGCCCTATAGTAGATTACACAATAATCAGTGAAATCAGTCATTAGTTGTAGTTTATTCTGATCAAGTTTCATCATTTTACAAGTTTCTCACTTATTTCAAGCATGTTTCTGCAAAAGTATTTTTGGAATTCACAAACATCCAGTATAATTTGGAAATACCGATTCTTCACCGTTACAAAAGATGACACCTTTGAGCAGATAAATACAGAATTTCCCTTTACTTCATTTCCGGTCCAGATGAATGATCACTGTCATTTGTCTTTCAGGATGATGTTAATGTTTCAGGAATGCTGCAGAAAGAGAAATTTGGAAACCTTGTGTGATGTTTCTGACTACCACACTTTGACTTTATGTCACTTGTTTTATGCTCTTGTTTAAATAGAAGCATGCCTAGATTTTCTATTATATAGTCCTAAACCAAAAACATTTCACTTTAAAACTCAAAGTATAGTTATTGGAAGCTCTTAAAGTGCATAAATCATGCACGCTGTAAACCTTTGAAAACTTCATTGACTTGTATGTAAAATTAAATATATATCATCTCCTGCTCACCTAGCAGCTCAAAAGCATGCAAATGTAAGTAGATAAATAGTTATCATTTTGATGGAAAAGTGACCACATTCCATGTGCTTCAGCGTATAGTCATACTGGCCATATGGCTACAGAAATGTCTTTGTACAACATGTCTCCCTCAGTTAAGAAATGGAGATGAGCATCATCTCCTAGATTTGAACATAACTGGATAGGACAAACTTTTACCTTTATATAAGAAAAGTCTCAATTCTATTCCATGAACGCATTATGTAGAATAACCTTCCCCAATTTGTGCTTTCTAGATATACTGCCCTTGCTAACCCCCAGGCTATATGATTGTGGAATGATGGACACACATTCAGTACATAACTTGAAGTTAGAGAAGACTGAAATAAAAGTAATGGTGTGTAGCTTTAGTTCTGAGGAAATGTGACCACAGATAGAAGATAACAGGTGGTAAAAATAAAATCCAAAGAATATCATTGACATGATATCTTTGCATTGTTAGCCTACCTGGTATTTGGTAGGACTCAGAGACAAAATAGGATTCAGATAGAAGCAGTGGATGAAACACTGCTGGTAGTAGTAAGCTGTGGGTGGAAGAAGAGATAGTAAGGAAAACTAAGTCAGCCTCAAAGCAGAAATGTAGGACCTGTAGAACAGAAGTCACGTCAGAAAAGAATAAAAACCAGAAGACATGCATTGTCCAGATATCTTAATGAGCAGGCATATAGAATAATGTTCACCTTACTCATATATTTGCATTTAACTATGGCATACACCATTTAAATATCTTTTTTTCCTGCTGTATCCTCAAGATGTTGCCTTCATCTCACTTCAGCCCATGAATGAGACAAACTGAAATGTTTTATCACTGTTAAAATGTCATTTCTTCCCATTGTTCTAACATCATCCAAAGGCAGACTCAAACTAAAATAATTCTAATAGGCTGTGACACCCATTATATTGGGGGGAAATCAGATGGTTGTCAGTAATTGGGAACAGAGGCAATGGACACTGCACATTTCGTGCTGGCTTCATTTTCTGCTGACTCAAGGAGATCACACTTTAAGCCACAGGGAAGACTTGAAGTATCCAGGCTGAACTTGCAGCACCTTGGATAGCTCTAAAGAGACAATTTACTGGAGCTCTTGAGACATAGGATAACATTGAATCTCAATCTTATTTTTTCATGGCAAGCGTCCTAGTTTTCCTGATTCAGATAATTCTTCTTAAGTGAAAATGGGTGACATAGAACTAAAATAAATGATAATCTATCATACCACAGAATATTACCGTTATGTTTTATTTATCTATTTATTACATTTATCTGCACTGTCATCACAAGGCAATTCTGGGTGGCTTACAAAATTAAAAGCAATAAACAATATGAATATATATAACAGTAAAATTATAAGAGAAGGTAAAATGATGGCAAGGGAAGGATCAAAGTGTGCAGAGGATGAGGTGGAATCTGCTATTACTCCATCAACCACTTCCAGAGTGGTACTCTCTAATGGGGGCCCAAACCAACTGGCAAAGCCAGGTTGCCAGTCCCTTATGAAAGGTCAAGAGGGTAGGAACAGATACCATCAGGGGCTGTATGTTTAAGATGTTCCAAAGGGTTCCACCACAAAACCGCGGTAGACTAAAGCGCATGTGACTAAAGCGCGGTGACAAAACCGCACCGTCAAAACCGCGCAACAACAGCGCGCCAANTTGTTTTAAATTAAAAACTAAAAAAAATATTTAAAAAAAAGAGAGGAAGCATTTCTTAAGACTTAATGAACTGGCCAAGGTTGGCTCAAAATGTTTAAAATCCGAAACTTGTATTCTACCATGTAATCCAGTCTGAAAAGCCAAAATTAAATAGAAAATCAGGATTATGCAGGATATGTTTCAGAGTAGGAAACAGAAGCGTATACATCTTTGTTCTGGGATGTATTTGCAGATTGCATTTGTTTTTATTAAAAATAAGGATTGGTTTTTGTACTATTGGCCAATTTAGGCAAATGTTGTCTGCTTTGTTTTCTAGTTAACCTTCAAAGAATCTTGAAAGTCTTATGCACAGTATGTGTTCCAATTCTTAAGACAGGTTGTTCATGGAAACCTTACTATAAGCAGCATGGGATAAGCATCAGGTGATCAACAAAGCCACAGGAAAACCTGTCTAATGGGTTTAATGTGCTTTCAAAGACGAGCCACACTTTATTTTTCAACCTGCCTTATGCAATTTTTAATGCCTAATTTGTACTAAATGTTGGGTACAAAAGTTGCATATTTGCCTGTTTATAGATGAGAGAAGAAACAGCCATAGGGTAGAAATATCATGAGTAGGTTCATACACATTCTACATGTTTAGGGGAAAGTTTGTCCCACTTCCCATACATCAAATCACATCAAATCACATCAACCTTTATTAGGGTCAAAGACCAGAATAAGAAAGGTGGCATACCAAAAAGATGAAGCTATTATGAATGTCTCTAAGCATTGAAGAAGCCGATACTTTAATGTTTCTGTACATCCATTGTCTCCGGATGCAGAATCTTCACCTAGCAGCTATCAAGGCCCTTGGATACTTCAAGGTTTGTTAAGTCTGCCTAAGGGAGGGCAGAGTACCTGCTGGGTTCACATAGCAAAGAATCCCATTCTATGTGTGGTGCAGCAATTAAAATTAGGTGATGGATCAATATTTTTCAACCAAGCAATAACTTTGATCTCTTACATTGCAACTCTTATAGTCATTTCAGTATTTTGGGCTTTCTCTTTATACTTACACTCATGTTGCTTGTATGTACTTATGCACGGAGACAAATTCCTTGTGTGTCCAATCACATTTAGCCAATAAAGAATTCTGTTCTGTTCTGTTCTGTTATATTATATTATATTATATTATATTCTAGTCTTATACTATTCTATTCTATTGTTCTATTCTATTCTACTCTACTCTTTTCATTTCTATTCTATTCTATTTTCTTCTCTACTCTACTCTACTCTACTCCTTTTATAGGGCCACTGACCTAAATGAAAAGAAAATAATGCAGGGAAATGTATGTTGTCCTAGGATGCAGGCAAAAGAAAGTCAGGTGCAGATCAAATGAATCTCCTCTGCTGGGCTTCTCAAAGTCTTGAGAAAGGTCAGGCCCAACTCATGGCTGGGGTGATTCCAGGCAACTAGGCTTACATCATGATTAAACAAAAACGAGCGAGTGAGGTCCAGATAAAGAGGCCAAGTACTTGGTTTGCGTGCAGAGAGCGTGCTACTTCTGGGTCAAGCCGTTCTGCTTTGCCACGAGCCAGGCGGGGTGGGGGGGCTCAGCTCCCCAGCGTCAGGCACAAGCTTCCCTTTGAACTCCACTCATGGCAAGGACTGGCAAGTCCCGGGAAGCATTTTCTGTCGGCTGCTCCTGCCCAGCGCCTGAGATCGCGAGCTAACTGCCGGCGCGCTCCGTTCCTCTCCCTTCCTCTCCCTCGGCAGCAGGAGCTCGGGCTGCGGGAGGCGGCTCCACCCCTTTGGAGTTGATCAGGTATGGGAAAGTTATTCGGAGTTCAAATATAACCCAATGCCTGGCCAGCTGCTCGGCCCGCAGCCTCCACTTGGAAGAGCCCACCGGGCCAGAGAGGAGCAGAAGTAACCCGATTCCCCCAAGCACCCCGGGCTCCGCCACTCCCCCCTTTTCGCGACTCGGTCTCTAGCCAGGCGCGCCACACGCGAGAAGGCATGAGCGACGAAGCGGCGCCCAGAGCTTGGGGGTGAGTCGAATGACCGGTCAGGGTGGGGATAATGGGGATCGGTTGGTTGGGGTACCTCGGTTGGAAAGATGAGCCTGGGCTGCTTTCCTTCCCCCAATCCCCCCTAGCTCCTTTGCCCAATTCCCTCTGCCTCCCTCGGCCGAGAGGTTGCCACGGAGGAGACCCAACCTTTCTTCTTTGGACCTCTAGTAGCAAAACTGCGGCGGGGCGGGGGGGACGACGACGGCTGGCCAGGTCTACCGAGGGATGGCAGAGGCCCCGTGCGAGTTCCTCCTCCGCAATTTGTGGGACCGTAGCGAGAAGTTCTGGAAGACGGGAGTAAACGCGAGTTGGGGATAAGGGTCTCTGCGAAGGGTCCTCAGAGGTAAGAGGGCCCAGACAATAAGAGGGCAGAAGCGTTGCGGGACACGGTCTTGGCTTACCCTGGACCCATCGCCCTTTCCCTTTGGAGCCTTTCCCCCTCCCCCTCCCGCTTCCCTCCCAATCAGCCCCCGCCCCCCAAAACCAGCGAGCCAAGAACCCCTGTCCCGCGCAGTTGGATTGTGCCACTGTGTTTTTATTAACCTGTTGGAAATTGTTGGAAATTTCATACGACTTTCTGATTAGCTTTGCTTCCTTTACCGCTTCCTACCCCAAGTATCGTTCCACAATGCCCCTTGCGTTGTTGTTTAATCTAATGGTGCTATCCTTTTTTTGAAAAAAAGAAAAGAAAAGAAAAATGTTTTTTTTAAAGACATACACTTGCGTGCGATATCGTGTGTGTGTGTCACAGGGAGAGAGAGAGACAGGCAGACAGAGACAGACACACATACAAGAGAGAGGGGGGAGGGAGAGAGAGAGAGCGAGAGAGAGCGAGAGAGCTTGTGGAGGCTCGGTGAGCGTATTAACGGTATGAAACGTTAAACCTGGGAGATTTGTAATGGCTAAATGTCAAGGGCAGTTCCCGTCCTTTTCACCTATGTATTTGGAAAAGATCCTAGAAAAACTCCTTTGCCAGCAGTTTGCACTGCCTCGTAAACAGATCACAGCGCCTCTGGACGCGGACCTCGTTAGAAGCTGCATCCGCGGCGCGCTACAAATCTTCCCCAGCTTCGTTCCCCGGGGATGCCCCGCGTGCTCCCTGGCCTTGCGGCGCTTTTCTTTCTGCCTTCTAGACTGGCGCTGACTTCCTTCTTCGCTCTCTGCTGACCTGCCAAAAACCCGGAGCGTTTCGCGCCGGGATAAAAGGCTTTCGTTTCCGTGCCTTGCAAAGACACTCTGAGGCGTCTTCCCCTCCCCTCCCCTCACCCCATGCTCCCAACTGAAAGGCTCCGGCTGGAAAGTAGGTCGCTCAGAACCTGTCTGGGAAACGTGGCTCTATTTGGGGAAAAGGGAGTCTAGGAGTAGACCCGGAGCGGGATGGAAATGTCTTGGCGCAAAGTTCCTGTTAGCAATGTTCCCTCTAATTTTTTTTCAGTGTGAGCAGAAAAGTATAGTGTTTGAGCGGCATATTTTCATGCCTGAGCACCTGAATTTTTTTCACAGATGTCATCTAAGACAACAACGAAATCAGTATTATTTGAAACTCAAAGTTATGTTTATTCCAAAGAGCCAAGGTGGCGCAGTGGTTAAAAAGCAGCACTGCAGGCTACTGCTAGATCAGCAGGTCA